GGGTCCGGCTGTCCCTTTGCGGGCAGCTGTGCTGGGGCGGCACTTCACGGGGCCCTGCCTGCCCGGCCCCCGGCCGAGAGCCGCGCGCGGGGAAGGGCTGTGGGAAGGTCCCTCTGCCTGGCTGCCCTCTCGGGCGTCCCTGGGTGCCGGCAGCGTGGGCTGTCTGGGGCGGCAGGACTTGTGCTACAGCAGGAGGTCTGGCGTTCTGTGACGTGTAGCCGCTCCATTTCCCTCTCTTAGCTGCGTCCGGCCTTTTCTGAGCTTCTCGTAGGAGCTGCGCTATCCTGACTGTGAAAAGAGAAGGTCCCCTGCAGTCACAGATGGACTGGAGATCTGGGCTTGTGTCCCCGTCCCAGTGGGGATGGAGCCATGCGGGGGCTGCAGGGCCTTGCGGGAGAGCCCCAGGGGAGCAGCAGGCTCAGGAGGGCCCTTTGGCTGCTGCAAGGTGCCGGCCGTGCCTGCTGTGTGCCTGGGCAGGGCCAGAGTTGCAGCTCGGGAGCAGGTGCCGAAGCGGTGACCCTGGCCTAGGACCTGCTGCTGGTGCTGTCCCTGGCAGCCTCTGGCTCCCTGTGTGGTTTCTCAGGCCACTGCCTTGCCCATGTGGCCGCAAGCCCAGGAGCAGTGTGCTCTTCTGCAAGAGGGGTTAGTACTGGAGCCTGGAGCTGGGCCTTTCCCCCTCTGCAAGCCCAAGAGAGGGAGAAGGGGAGACACTGGGCTGATGTGGGCTGGGGTTGCAGGCCATGACGCACGGCCGCTCTCTGTTGCAGGACGCGGTACATCAGCACGGAGCTGGGCATGCGGCAGCGGCTCTTTGTGGGCGTGCTGACCTCCAAGAGCTCGCTGAACACGCTGGCCGTGGCCGTGAACCGCACGCTGGCCCACCGCCTGGAGCGCCTGGTGTACTTCACGGGCACGCGGGGCCGCAAGGTGCCCCATGGCATGACGGTGGTGACGCACAGCGACGAGCGGCCCATCTGGAACATGTACCAGACCATCAAGTACCTGCTGGACCATTACGTGAGCGACTTCGACTGGTTCTTCCTGGTGCAGGATGATACCTACACGGAGGCGCACCGCATCAGCCGCCTGGTCGCCCACCTCAGCATCGACACCCACCTTTACCTGGGCCGCCCCGAGGAGTTCATCGGTGGGGACACCGAGGGACGCTACTGCTACGGGGGCTTTGGGTACCTGCTGTCCCGCAGCCTCCTCCTGCGCCTGCAGCCGCACCTGGAGAGCTGCCGGAACGACATCCTCAGCGCCCGGCCCGACGAGTGGCTGGGCCGCTGCATCATCGACTACACAGCCATCAACTGTGCAGAGGAGCATGAGGTAGATCCTGCAGTGGAGCTGGCCCGTGAGGGTGCTTGGTCGCTGCCACCTCAGCCTGGCCTGTTCTCTTGTCTCTCCTTCCCTTTCGTGCACTGAGCAAAGCCTCTGGGCAGCGTCTCACCAGCCCCTGACGCTCCCGGAGGCTGTGGGTCCAGCTCTTGTGTGCTGTTTTTCCTTGAGCTTGCTTTGCTTGTACTCAATGGGGTGGACCGTAGGTCTGGATCCGCTGTAACTTGTCTCTTCTTGCTGATACAGGGCCTGCGTTACCAGTACTTTGAGCTGGGGAAGAATATAGATCCTGAGCGGGAGACTGACCCACATTTCCAGAACGCGTTCACTGTCCACCCTGTGCTGGACCCTGTCCAGATGTACCGGCTGCACAAGCACTTTGCACAAGTGGAGCTGGAGAGGACCTACCAGGAGATCCAGCAGCTCCAGGTGAGACCCGGCTTAATTGGGAGGATCTGGGCTCCTCCTGCAATCCCTGCGGGCTTTTCAGCCTCTCTGTGTCACCTTTTCACTCTAATGTGAGTTTTTTGAGGCCTGGAGCTGTGCTGGGGTGACATCAGCTGAGCTCTTGTGGCTGTGGTGATGACAGTGTTGTCTGGGAGTTCTTAGGGCCTCTGTCCCTGTGGCTGGAACCAGGAGGTTCTGTCTGTCATTTTGTCTGGGCCGTGTAGACCTTTGAACCCTTGTCAGCTCTTGCTGAGCTTCACTGCATGCTCCTGACCTCTAAGTACATGCCTGTGTCTTCTGACTGTGTCTTCTGTTCGATCAAGCAGTCTGAGAGCAACCTTGGGCCGAGCAGATCCTGGAGCTGTGGCAGCGCGGGGTGTTCAGGCCAGCAGTGTGCCAAGATCTGGCAGCAAACGCTGGGTGGGATAAAGTGCAGGCCATGCCAGTGAAAACAGCTTATTGTTTCCTGTGTGCAGCTCTGGGGAAACCCTGACCCACTTTTGCTGGAGTCGGTCTGAGAGCAGCACTGATATGTTCTGCTTCTCCTGTCCCCAAGAGCAGTACTAAATTTCTGAATATCATGTTAGCAGAGGGGGCCCTGCAGAAAACTGGAAGGTTTATCTGTGCCTACCTTGGTCCTGACTCCTCTGTCTCTGCTTTTGCAGCTGGAAATCCAGAACTCCAGCAGCCTGTCTGCAGATGGGGACCACAGTGCCACGTGGCCCATTGGCATTCCTCCCCCATTCCAGCCCAAAACCCGCTTTGAAGTGCTGCGCTGGGATTACTTTACAGAGGACCAGGTGTATGCGTGTGTGGATGGCTCCCCCAAGTGTGAACTGCATGGTGTGGACCTGGCAGATGTGGCCGACCGGGTGGCCACTGCCACGGAGGAGCTGGACCCG